TCTGGGAATGTGAGACAATGTGAGATGTCTACAGTATCAACGGAGGAGCAGCCGTAATCCGTTGGTCGTCCTGCTACGCGACCTCATACTTCAACCGTTATCACCTCTCCGAGACTGTGATGTTAATAATCAAATAATCCATAATGACTGGATGTAAATCACTCGGTTCAGCTCTTCTCATCTTTATCCAGCTCTTGAACCGAACGGCATCCTTCATGGTTTCATGTAGTTATCTGTCAGAGGACGGTGGCTTTCAATTGACTTGCTCGAATTTGAAGCAAAATATCTGACGACTGCATACCAGTACGGGTGCCTTGTTAGAGACTATTTTTAGTCAGAGACTATAAGTTATAATTGAACGTTCAATCAACATAAATGGACCATTTCTATCCTATGCATATTTCATTTATGAACAAGGCATCTCCCTCCTTGTCACAGCATAAGAAGTTCTTCAGTGGAAAAGAAACGAGCATACAGCAGATGTTTACTACGCGTAGATGTAACGCGGAACTCGCAAATCTTAGACGGCGAGGCTCCGTAGTGAAAAGACGCCTTTGTGAGATCTACTGAGCGATTTCCTGGCAACGGCACGTTAAGAAGCAGTTGCCTAGCATGTCTAATCACACGGTTGTTCTAGTGGCTTCTATGGCTTTTCTCACGGCTAGTTTCAGAAATCGAATGGCTTAATTTCAGAAAATGCTAGCTGTCCTGAAAACGTGAATTTCCTGTTTGAAACATATCTGTCAAATTATGTTATATCGTCAGTTTTAATGGCAACGCTTTTGAATACTTTTTGACTTCTCATATTCGCAGCTACGGCTTAGTGATGATTTGAAATCGGCTATCGGAAGAATCTTGTGAAACGAATATGCGCTCTCAGACCTGATGCAAAAGCATTTCCATGTGATTATTCGGGACTGATCGATCACTATTCAGTAAGAGGTGAAAAGCAGCGATCTAAAACGTCATTGGAGTCGGGCAAATCAGTGATGATGGCAGCTGAAAGAACAGCATTCACAGAGCAATCAACGGCATTCATCACGAATCTACTGTACAATCCAATGACTCATGATCATTTGTGCCATTCAGAATAGAGTCTATTAGTCTAATCATTCATTCTTTCTTTCGTTTTTCATTCCTTCCTTCATTTACTGATTCATTGACCGATTCAGCCATTCATTCGCTTGTTCACATTTGGCCGTTCATTCGTTCTGTTTTTACCCATTCATCTTTTCATTCTTTTGTTCTTGCGCTAGCTCTTTCACTCAGGCAATCGCTTAACCATTCAGTCGTCCATTCAATTCAATCATTATGATGAAACATGTAGATAATCGCTGGTATGAGGGCTGTCGTACCACTCTCAGCGAAGCTGAATGAGACGCACGCCGAATGAGACATGTGACACATCACCTCAAACGTCAGTTACATTTATCAATCGCCTATATTATGAGGATGTCAGTGAACGGCAGGTGTTTTGTATGCCTAACCAACCAACGCGTGAACAAGCTATTCACGACAAAATATGAAGGAATAGTGTGGCATATATGCATAGTAATATAATATTACGATATACCACAGTACGTACCTATTGAAAATAGGACATCGTTTCTTGTCCTGAAGACAAACTATATCCTCTGGGCTGCTACAACTCTGAAGGTAGACCAAGCTAGGTTCAAAAAATCAACTGCACATGCATATGTGCTTCAACCATTGTGCATTGCTCCACTGTTTATAACACTCGAAAGGATACAACTAATATGCAGATGGTATGGTCCTGTGAATTCGTAACTTTGGTTCATGGACCAGAAAAGATTAAGAAGCACAGAACTGCGCCAAATGAGATTTCACGGCGTATTTCACCTCCCCGTTGCTCCGAGACTCCTTCGACGCTTGGCTTGCTCAATTGTATTTGAGCAGCAGTGATGAAACCACTTGTTAAGAAATTATTTTTTAATGAACATGAGCACAAGGAACATGAGCCGGCACTGTTTTACATGTGAAGATCTGGGAAAGACCAAATGCGATTTTTGAGATGTCGTGGTCTTAATTTTGATGATTCAATAAGCGTTAAAATGTTTTTGCTAGACCATCATTCATGACAAATAAATGTTGTTTTAGCCGATAAAGCGATAGGAGATGTAAATGCACTGTAGGTGCTCAGATAC